TATACGATAGGTAGTCTTTTTCAAGTCTAAATTCACCAAGAGTAATGTCAAAGGAGGAAGTAGTGTGTCTATACTTAGAGCAATGTCAGCAATGCTTCGAGAATATATATATTACTTCCATCTTTGACGTTACTCTCAGCAAATTTAGAAGTGAAAAGGACTACCTATCGTATATATAAGCAGCATAGCCCTTGACTTACTTATTTTTGTTATCTCCTTCGCTCGCTGTTCTTAGATGCTTTGTTTTGAATATAAAACCTTACCTTTTTATGTACGAATGAAAAAAATTATTAATTATAACAACAAACCGTCTTAACTACCAAGACTGAATCCTAGCAGACGATAAATACTGGATTTCTCCGTGCTTATACAGAGATAACATAAATTATTAAAATAAATGTACAGTAACTAACAATTCTTTCTCTGACAGTTCAAAGATTTTTGTTAAAATTAAAATTTTGATAACACCTATTTTAATTAAACTTCATGTTTTTCTTTGGCAAGTTTTATTCAACATTATACGCATTCATGATTGAAGAATCACTTGGATACGGAGAATTAAGCTTGATAACACTTAGCAGCTCCCCTGTGAATTCAATTGAATTGAGTTGATCTTTAGAAAACATTGTCATCTAGTTAATTTTTACACCATCAAAGCCCTAAGTTAAAACCATATCATTCGGCTTGTTATTACAAATGTCACATCCTTTATAAAAAACTTTTTAAAGTAAATTGATTTGGATTTTAAAATTGTAAATAATGGCCGTTCTTCTTGTGTTTTACACTTAATAAGACGTTTTTTCTTGAATCTATTACACAATTAAACTACAGATTTGTAACCACTACAAATTTGATGTATTGTCGAACCTATATAGGGCTCTTTCAAAGTTAAGGGCTGTTGTTTCACTCAACGAACAATGCATATTTTTAATGTCATCAACCACGTGAATTGAACTTTGAACATTAGAAATGATATTTTCCTCCCTATACAGGTTACAAAAAGTTTTCAAAAATCTGTAAGTATATAACTGTGCATGTTTAATGTATTCATCACCCAAATGAGAACTAAATAATATCCTGAATGCCACATGTAGTAATAAAAAGTGATTATACATTAAATCTGGAAGGATGCCTTCTAAAACAAATGGTCTACTGTATAACAACAAAAATCTGAACTCAGTTGCCTTCCACTTATCACTGTTAGAAAAATATGTATTAAATTTAATATTTATGTATTGGAAGCAAATTTCATAAGCCAGTTTTGAGGTTTTAAAACACAATATTGAAATTTAATAAATAGTTTATGAGTTTAATACCAATAGAATATCGTTATTTTAAGAACTATATCTAAAAAATTAATAAAAAGGAGTATTAATTATTTAGGTATCAATATGNGCTAAGGGATCGTTTACAGTGAAGCAGCGTATCTAGAGTACATTGGTGAAGTTGGTAGTCGACCACACTGTTTAAAAAATTCTCAAATGTAAGAGATAATTAAGAGAGATTTGTATCTTAAGTCTCATAATTAAGTAACTGAAAATAATTCAATATACAATGTTGTGAATTTTTTAGAGAAGCCTATAAAAGTTATAAAAAGCATGCATTAAAATCAATGAAACTTAACTGAAAATAAAATTTGGCTACCGATTATTAACACTCATAAAATAAGATATATCTTCTAATACAGTTCATAAATGATCCCGTTAGTCTGTTGCAGACAAAAGATTTAATTTTAGTACAAAAATGTCTGTTGCTAATAACTATTCCATTTTTCAATAAATTTTGTAAACCTTCAATAAAATCTTAAAGAAATCTGCAAATACAACTCGGTTTACCAACTCCAAAGTAGACACATACAATAAATGGTTTATATGTAGTCTTGTCTCGATAGAAAATTACAAAAAACAGGCCAAAGTTTATTTTGACTTGAGTTGAAAAGTGGTAATCCATCGATATTAAATTGTAATTCTATTATGCTATCATGATGTATTAACATCACTATTTTCTAGTAGCTGGTTACCAATGCCAAAATAGATCATTTGAGCAGTATAATTACCACTATTTTGGTTGAGTTTTTTTTTACATTCAGAATCTGTTTTTAAAAGTGTTTTTGATAATACTGGAATTTCAAGATAAAATTTCTTGAGCGGTTTAAGTAAGGAATCAATAGCCGATTTTTGGATTTGTGACTCTATAGTCCATTACCTCAATTTTTTGTTAACGACAGTTAATTTACATGCTTTTCATGTTTATTATGTACATCTTTGAGATCAGAACAAGAATCTTCGGGGTGAGAACAAGATGCCTCATCACCGACAAAAGAACTATTAAAATTTTGATTTCGAAGCTTATTGTCGCTGAAGTTTGTAGACATTTCAACACTATCACTCTCATTGAGTTTGTAAATCAACACATATTTATCGCTGTTAACAATTTTGGAGTCATGATGAGTTAAAACTTTTTCATCGAGTTTCGCACGGTTCAAAGAACGATGTTTTCGTACTCCTTTATTGGTTAGTGTTACCATACGATTTACTGTATCACTCATTTTTTAATATTTTCAATAAATGTAACTCTGTATCAAACTTTTTAAATGTTAAGTTACGTCGTTCTGAAAAATACACTTTAATTGCTCCAAACCATAATCTACACTACACGATGTTATACCTGTATATGTTTCATATACATACGTATAAAGTGAGACGAAAGATACCTATATATTGGCCCTAGCTGGTGCCAACCTCAAGCCCCGTTTCAAATACTGATAATTTCAACGTAAGCCTGACCATAGCAACCTACTTTGTCCCTCTCCAGTGAGCTAGGCAGCCCTACTAGAGTTTCCGATCGGGTGAGCAACACTGTATTCCATTATAGTCGCTGTCGTTCACGTCATCATAAAATTGCAACTACAATCAAAGCAGGAGCAAAGGCTCTGAAAGCAACAACAATAAATTTTGTTACCTGCATACGAAGTTTGGTAACAAAACGTACTGCTGCAGGAGTAACTGCTCACAAACTACCTCTTTATCCAACTCCTCAGAAAACTAGCTTCTTTTCTTTGAGTAGAAGCTTTGAGTTTGTGAAGCAAGTCCAAATGCTTCCACATTCGTAATTCGCAGCCAGGTCGAATCTTCTTAGTTCACACTTGAGTTGAAGTATCGTTGCTTCTTAATACAGATTCTGATGACAAACTGGCGTCCAACTTAAACTTTTTGCGTCCAACAATTTCCATGGAAAGTTTTTCGTGCTAAAGTCCCAACTCTATCCTGGTAACAGACTTCCTACACTTTTTCTCTTAAATCTAAAGTCTTTAAATTCTATGATTTTAAATGATTTTCTATACCCACTGCTAAAAAGCCTCTAATACTATAGCTGCTGAGTACGTTTTCCATCACATAGAGGCTAAGGATCCTCTAGTCATGCAGTGCATGAGATGAATCGATTTCAAAATGTTTAGAGCAACACAAGACAAGTTAAAAAATTAGTGTATCCAATTCTAGTTGCACTACTTGATATTGGCAAGACTTCTGTGACCATGCCCTTTGAACTTAATGAACATGTATTTATGCTCTTTAATCTTGGAAACGCTTCCCCGTCTCTTCAACGCTACATTAAGTGTGCGCACAGCGTCCTTGACTTTGTTTTCGTTAATCTTGATGACACTTCAATCTTTTCCTACATTTGAGGCATGAAAAAAACGATCAGACTCTAATTTCTTAGTATCTACAAGACAAATTGGTTTTTGAGAAGACTAAAACTGATCTTGCCAATGTATATCTTCTGATTCATTCTGCTGTAGACACTTTAACTCGTTTTATCATTGATGTTTTTGAGTTTGTTACGAGCGCAGTCCTTGAAAATTTTTAGGAGGATTTTCTCTCTGTAAAACCGAATTATTCATTTTTAATTATCGACAAAGTCTTCTGGAAACTGGGTGTCAACGAATCCATCCCCCTTTCGGGAAGAGTACTTTAATGACAGTCACCGCAGAGCTTTGAGCTGGGCAGGCATCTAACCTCTGCTCTGGGGTTGATTGCCTTCACTCTTAATTTTTTTAAATTGATGCCATAAGGCGGATCTTTAGTGCTTAAGAAGTTTGAGCCAAATAACATAAAGATAAGGTTAGAAAAGAGAGAGTGAGAGAGAGAGAGAGAGAGAGAGAGAGAGAAAGTGAGAGACAGACAACCCATTGAAAATGTGGTCTTTAATGTCCAGTAATTTTTATTGAGTCTGTATGTATATTCTTATGTTTATTGTACTGCTCTGGCCACTGCCGTGTTTTTTAAGTTTCGCCAAGCAATCGAGTGATCATGTGATTGATATTTTGGATGATTCAAGAGAATCATCTCAAGCAGCCATGTAGTATTTCTTATATAGTAAAGATTGCCTTAGTACTTAATAAGAAGGGTCACCACAGTGATAAGCAGGTGGTACCATCAAGCGAAAAGGTTAAATTTAATATTTTGATGTTCAATAGTTAACTCATGAAATTTTAATTAAGAATAAATGATAATTATTTCAATAAGTATTTACGTAATTCATAACATTTTTTATTGTATACGATATTCACAGTTTTTCCCTTCTGATTTTCCAATTTCACTAAATTTTCTTAAATTCACAACTAACTGTATTTAATTGTCTATCTTAAAATAGAAATAATTCTTCATAATAAAAAATGTTATGAATT